ACATTCTTGTTTACTGCTGTGGCTATTATTAGAACTTTCCCATAGGCTCAGCTCAGCTTTTCAGTATGTGCAAGAACACCATTCCTTTCCCCTGTTTTTTAATTATCTCAAGTTTGGTACTCATTTGTGGGCTGGACTGAGGAATATATCCTCATAGTTTCAGTGCTAGGGATAGAAATTTCTTTTTGTTTCAACACTGTGAAAATATTTTCCTCATTCAGTGGGTTGGCTTACATAGCTTACTAAATCAAAATAAAGCAATTACATTATTGTATGTCTTAATGCAATATATAAACCCAACTATAGTGGCTTATATACCTCAAATTAGGTTATAGCTTAAATACAAAGTGATTGCTATGTTGTTCTGTCCCCCCCCCCTTTTTTTATATATTTTGCAGATATATTTTAAACATAATTTAAGCAGTGTTTAGGGCATGTTCAGAATGAAATGCTGCAGGATTCAAGATGTCCTAAAGATTCTGGATGTGATTGAAATAAAATGAAGGAGCTAATATTTATGGCTTCATTTTATTTTATTTTTTTCAAATTCCACTTTCCTGGAAATAAATCCAAATTATTTTGGTGGTGTTAGAAACAATGCATGGAATTGCAGTACTGTATTTTTCTGCCATTTAAAACCTTGGATTCAGGGTGAGCAGTGAAAAATATTTAAAAAATGCAACATTTAATACAGCACCTTAAATTAAGACACTAAGATTAAAATATTTTTAAAAGATTAAAACTCATTTGAAGGCAGCTCTAAAATGAAATTCTTTAATCAAGAAAGCCTACAGGTAACTTCATGACTGCACATTAAAGAAAAAGCTGCAGGCTATATTAAGTTAAATAAAGTACGTATCATTGAGAACAGGCCTATAAGGAATATACAGAGAAATGTTAAAGATGAATCATTTGTTTTGTTGGAAATAAAATGTGCTGCTGTTGCTAAGTCTAGCATTTTATAAGGTTGCGTGACAGTGAGTAATTCAAGGAGACCCTAAGCCTAAAATCATCATTTCAGACATATTTTAAAAACATTAAAATTCATAATTGACCTGGCCTAGACCTGCTAGAAAAACTAGATTTTTAAAGTTATCATAAAGAATGTGGCTGGAATTATAGGGATCTCCAGGAATGCTATCCAGAGAAAAGATGTACCTTTGGGGTCCCATAAGATTTTTATTGATAGGACTGACAACCTATCTTACAGGATGGGAAGAAATGATTGGAGAAAAATGGACCTATGAATATCCATTGTTGTAATCAATGAAAAACTTTATAACTGAGAATAAGCACCTTGAATCACACTTGGAAGACAATTCAAACACTGCTTTGGGAGCTTTCATTTACCTCATTTATAGAATGAAGAGCCATGGTGGTGCAGTGGTTAGAATGCAGTATTGCAGGCTAACTCTGCTTACATTGCCAGGAATTCAGTTCCTTTGATCCTGACCTGCTCAAGGTTGACTTGGCCTTCCATCCTTCCGAGGTCGGTAAAATGAGGACCCAGATTGTTGGGGGCAATATGCTGACTCTCTAAACTGCTGCAGAGGGCTGTAAAGCTCTATGAAGTAATATATGTCTAAGTGCTATTGCTATTTATCTATTTTATTTCTGTAACTTCGTGCAACATTTGTGAAAATAATTTCTCCTCTAGCCTTAATTTCTTATAATAAGCCAGAGTGACTGAAAATTATAAAAAGATCTGAAATTTACATTTGGATAATATCTTTAACAAAATGAGACAAAAGTGTAAGCTGTTGAGTTTTATCAAACCCTTCATTGGGTAAGATATTATAGAATGCTGCAGATAGGGAACAAATGGGGGGGGGGAATCCAAAAATTAGATCAGATCTGACAGCCATGAGTTTTCCTTAAAGATTCAGTTACTACAATCAATCACTTAGAGCTTTATAATTTATGACAAATAAGGCTATGTGGAGCTGACCACAGCACTTTAGTCTGAGATGAGTTTGCAACCTGATTCATTGCCAGGTTTCTCCTCTTGCCAAATGTATGAGCTAATATTGGGGAATATAACTAAAGCACCTAAGAGTGCATAGAGTGAAACAATTGTTGAACACAAAGTTGTACTGGATGCTTTGAACTGATTTGAATATAGTCTGCACACATTTTAACATTTTTATCTTTTTGGAGGAGGGGCGGTATTGATTTCTTAATTTAATCTTCAAGCTTCTGTAGACAGTACCCCTTGCTCTTCTATAACCAGGCTTGGAGTGGTGCGATGGCTCAGCAGTTAAACACACTGAGCTTGGGTTTGAGATCCAAGCGCCGTGCAATGGGGTGAGCTCCTGTTACTTGTTCCAGCTTCTGCCCACCCAGCAGTTTGGAAGCATGCAAATGCAAGTAAATAAATAGATACCACTTTGGTGGGAAGTAACAACATTTCATGTGCCTCAGCTTATAGTCATGCTGGCCACATGACCATGGAAATGTTTTTGGATAACGCTATCTCTCTTTCTCATAAGAAATGGAGATGAGCACCACCCCCTAGAGTTGGACACAATTGGAAAGGGAAACCTTTGCCTTTATCTTTAACCAGGCTTAAAGTTTCTAAGTGCAGAAACATCACACAAAGATACACATTGTCAAAGTCATGGTTTTCCCACTTAACAGAATAACAGAGTTGGAAGGTACCTTGGAAGTCTTCTAGTCCAACCCTCTGCTCAAGCAGGAAGCCCTATACCATTTCAGATAGGTGGTTGTCCAACCTTTTCTTAAAAACCTCTAGTGTTGGAACACCCAAAACGTCTGGAGGCAAACTGTTCCATTGATCAATTGTTTTAACTGTCAGGAAAGTTTTCCTTAGTTCTAGGTTGGTTCTCTCCTTCTATCCATTGCTTCTTGTCCTGCCATCAGGTGCTTTGGAGAATAGGTTGTTCCCCTCTTCTTTGTGGCAGTCTCTTAGATATTGGACCACTGCTATCATATCGCCTCTAGTTCTTCTTTTCATTAAAATAGACATACCCAATTCCTGCAACCCTTTTTCACATGTTTTATCCTCCAGTCCCCTAATCATTTTTAACACATCTTTAACACATGACTGTGATTTAGTTGAATTTATTAAGATGTATTTCTGTAATGTGCAGTATGCTGTAAGCTGCTATTAAGAATCTTCACCTGGTGAAGAAAATGATGACAAAGAATGAACAAATAAATCAGACAATAGAACAAAAACCAGAGGAAAGTGACCCAAAGATGGAGGAAATTATAATTGAACACAGACAAAGAAAAATCTGCAAGATTTTGCTATAATATTAGAAATGGAAAAAAACATTCTATTTTTCAGGACTTCAAAACAAAACTGAAGATAAGAAAGAAGATTTGATAAAATGGATTATAATGCTGTCAGGAGAACCACTCGAATTGGAGGGACAAAAGATGAAAAGAGAAATTGAGGGAGAAAGAAAGTGGAAGCTTCTTGACGAATATAAATGGGTGAAACTCCCCCTCAAAAGCACCTTACTCAATTTGTCTTTCTCATTTTTAACAACACTTATAAAATACTGGAAGAATCCCCTGGCAAGCTGAACAGACTGATTTGGAAAGCTGCCTGGCAAAAGAAGAAGGCAAGAGCTAGACTCGAGAGAGATGATTTGACCTACCATATGGAGTACTACATGACTAAACACTTGTTTGAATATGGTTAAAAGAATAGTTAAATTTTGGATATGAATGGGTTTATAGTAAGAGATATGATTTATAAATAGTATAGTATTTCTTTATGATATGGGAAATATAAAAATAATTGGATGAATTACATGAACAAAATGTTTTGGATATTTAAATGTAATCAACTTGGAGAAAATTATAATTGACAAGAAATGTTCTGAATATTGAGGGGAAATTAAGCTTAAATAAGAATACGAGAGAGCCAGACTCAAGAGTGACCTAACAGATGGAGTACTATATGATTAAATATTTGTTTGAACATGGTTAAAAAATAGTTACAATTTGGACATGAATGGGTTTTATAATAAGAGAGATATGATTTACAAGTAGTTTAGTATTTTTTTATGATACGGGAAATGTAAAATACTGAGATGATTTAAATGTATGAAATGTTTTGGATATTTAAATATAATCAATTTTGAGAAAATTATAATTGACAAGGAACGTTTTGATTACTGAGGGAAAATTAAATTTAAATAAGAATTCTGAAAACAGGACCTACAGCATTTACATAAGATGATTTTTTGCAAACGCAATTGTAAAACAAACTGATTAGAAAAGACGCTACATCTTGATGCTATTGTTATCCATATAAATATTAGAAAAATCTTTATATTCAACTTTATATGGATTGAGAATACTAAGAACTGTATTTGCTCAATGTTGGTAAAAGGAAAATATTATTGGAAGAACAGAGGATCAAGGAAAGGTATTTCTAGTTAGTATGTTGATTATGAAATCATAGAAATTAACTATTATTGATTGTTGTTAAATATATGAACCCCGACAACACATTGTTTACCAAGTACTAAAGATTTTTATTGCAGAAATCAATAAAACATATTAAAACAAAAGAATCTTCACCTCGAATTGTAATATGTAAATGCATGACAATGGACATGTTGAGCCTGTCTGTTTTGCTTTCCTTAATATTTGCTCTATACTTTTAAACTTGTAAGCTAAAAATCCTTGCAGGCCTGAAGCTGTGTTTATCTTTCCAAAAGTCCTCTATCACTGTGTGTGTCATAATCTCTCACACCTACCGAAACATCATTCTTTTGCAATTATTGAAATTTTTCCATTAACAAATAATTTTATACGTAGATGTTTTTCTTAATTATCGTATGTGTATGCATTTCTGTGCACTGTAAAATATCACTTAAATAACATGAAAAAAGACAGGCAAAGAATCATTTATAATTATGAAAATATGTCCAAGACAGGAAGATGGATAACCATTAAATTATTTAGGACAATGCTTTTATGTGACTTAAGGGCTCAGAAGCTGTCATATTTCTGTCTTCTAGTATGATTATCGGAAGTTGTCTATGCAATGCAAGGATTTTGTTGTTGGTGTCCTTGATCTCTGTCGGGATTCTGAAGAGGTGGAAGCCATTCTAAATGGAGATTTGGAAGCAGAGCCAGTTGAAATTCAGAGGCATAGAGCTTCCCTGAGTCGTGTCAAACTGGCAATTAAATATGAAGTCAAAAAGGTAAAGAATTGTCTTTCAAACAATGTATCTAGTGAACTCTGTCACAAACCTGCCTGCATTAATAATCTTATACATTTTAGTGTCAATTTTAGCTTTGTGCTCTGTTGAAATAACATGCTGATAAACTGATGTCAAAGATAGGAGTGAAATTGGCCTTTTTAAAATTAAAAGATGGTAGGCACTGTCATACATAATCCAATTAATACTGTTCTGTGTATGTCTGTTTTTGGCTATTAAAACATATTTAAAGCTAGGAAACAACCATGTTGTGCTTCTACTTTCAGCATCAATAACAGGATTTGGATTTTTTTTAATAAATAAGAGGATGCTGTATTCTTATTTTGGTTTTAATTCCATTGCCATTTAATTCAAATGTAAATATTTGGATGTGATACAGGCGATTATTTTACTACCGCAAATGCCAGCGTATAAGGCGACTTCCGCAAGCGCTGAAATCGGCGCCAAAGACGGGGGTCGTCTTATACGCCGAGTCGTCTTATACGCCGGAAATACTGGTAGTTTCCGGCGTATAAGACGACGTTCTAGGAATGCGGCCTGGCTATAAAGACGCGGGTCATCTTATATGCCGGGTCGCCTTGTACGCCGGCATTTACGGTACATATATTTCTATTCCATTTAAATGCACAGGGCTTAGAATCTGGATGAACTGTCAGAGTAATACAAATGCAAAATGCATCAGATAAGATGGGTAAATGGCTGATCTCCTTCTCCCACTTTGGTTTCAATGCATCAGATAAGATGGGTAAATGGCTGTTCTCCAGCATGAAGAATGGAGATCTACGAATGGGTTAAGTGTATCCTCCAGCCCAAATTAGACCAAATCAGTCAAGTTGCCACGCCTGTGCTGGGCTGGGTCCCGCCCCAGTTTCGATTTGGTCTCAGCCTAGATGGACGTGGTAAATTGGCTCCCAGACACTTTCAGAAAGCAGGTTGCACACATTTTTTACTACATTCGTGGATTCTTCCATTTACCCTCCATCTGATCAGCACTGGGATCAGCGCTGTTCCAGATCGGTAAAATCCTTGCGAAAGTACTTCGTTGTTTTAAGCAGCCTCCCAGGACCAGCTCAGCTGATCGTCGTGGCTACCGTTTTGAGTACTGCGCAGCGATCGGCTCATTTCCATTTTCGGCTCCTATTTCTCTCTTACCAGGAGACAAAAGAGGCTACTTCTCGATAGATTAACAGCCCTCGCTTCGAGGATCGCTCAGCGATTGCCACGGCTGCCATTTTGGAGTGCCACACGGCCAACGGCTGTATCTAATTTATTAAAATTTTTCTGGCACTTTTTCCTTGTGGATTCTGACTCATTTGGGATCTCTCCTTACCGGAGGCCTGAAGAAGAGCAGATAGCTTCATTTCAATCTACATTGCCGGGGGACTCAATTTACACTCAGTTCTCTGAGGCTCAGTTGTTGGGACATCAAATTTATTGCGGCTGCTATTTTAGAACGTGGCAGAACTTAGCTGGCCAGAACTCCGGATGGAGTACCAGTCCAGGTAATTCTGTGGCATTTCCACAAACAAAGAGTCAGGATACCATATTTAGTCAGGGCATCGAACCCAGTTTGAATTGCCAAGCATAACTACCTTTATCAATTGCTAATTATTGCTCGTGGGCCTCTTCTGCTATAACTTGTTTGCCACAGTCTGCATCTAGTGGATCGGCTGGTACCGTTGGAGCCGCCACTGAGACATGTAGGATCCTGTCACTAAAAGAACACTTAGCTTTGACAGTAGCTCGTCACCTCTCTGGCCATCACTATTAGTGACGCACGACATTCGTCGCTAAGTGTGACTCCGAGCTTGCCGGTGTGCCGGACCTCACAGATCCACGTATAGGCCAGTCCCACCTCGGTGGGCCGTAGCCACATCTCTTGCAGACCGGGACGCTTCAGCATTCCGCTGAAAACTCCCGATTTACAATGGCGGATAACACCGAGCCACAGGCTTCCACCTCTGGTGGACATACAAAGCATAAGTCATCCAATCCGACAGCAGCTGCAAGAATTAAGGCCAAAACCAAGGCCAGTTTAGACAAGAGGGCCTCCAAGGTGGCTGAAAAACAGGCCGGCTGCAGACATCGTGCCTTGGAGAGGCAATTTTCATGGGCCCAAAAGCTTGCGGTAGAGAGGATGGTCAGCTCACCCCCGCCCACTCTTGCGTCGCCTTTGGGTGGCCCACACATCGTGTCCCCCATTCCTACATGGTCTCCAGAACAGAACACTGCCCAGGGCCCTTAATGCAGTCTTGGTCAGGATCACCTTTTCCTCTTTGAAGAGGAACCAGGGTCTCGAGAACCCAATCAGGTACCAGAGACCACCTTTGAACCATCTGCTGCGCTTCTCAGGCCTCTAGAGAGGCCGTCCCTTGCGGGCCATCTACAGGCCACAACGGCTACGTTTACCCCCACTGCAGCGGGACTTTGGCCAGTAGAGCAACCATCCTTCACTGACCAATTACAGGCCATGACCTCCCAGGTGGTTGCACAAGCAATGATGTCCACAGTGCACCCACAGGCGTCCCTTGCCCCAGTGACCTCCCTGGCATCTCCGGTTCTCTCGCAATCCAGTGATTATCACTACCCGCACTCAGACTCACCCCTAGACTCGTGGGAGTGAGGTCTCAGATTATGTGGACTATGGCCACGTGGAAGGTCAGAGGTCGGATGATGAGGAAACTTCCTCGGAGGTTCCCCCCCTTACAGGCTTGTTCAATCCCATGTTCTTTTCATCTCTGCTCCGCAAGGCCTGCGCCACCGGTAAGATCGGCCCGGAGCAGCCCTCGGTGCCTGAACAGCTGCCTAGTCAGGACACCAACCCGTTGTTTTCCGAACCGGTGGTCAAACATCAACAAATCCCTTGCCCTCCCATGTTTTTGAAACCCGTACAGGGACAATGGGGATGCCAGGCACCTTCTCCACCCTCAGTGGGATCGACCGTAAACTGATAGATATGGTACCGACACTAAATGAGGCGCTGGACATGCCTGGAGTGGATGAGTCCTTAACTCCTTTGTTTTCAGATTCCAAGGTACCAGGGGATATGGCAGAGGCATTGAGAACTGAGGACAAAAAATCCGAGGTTTCCCTCCGCAGGATACACCAGGCTTCGGCATGAGCAATAAGGGCGCCCTCCTCAACGTCATTCTTCGCCCGGATCTCCCTGATCTGGCTCCGTGAACTCCAAGCTAGAATTTCTCCAGAAGAGGTAAGGGTCCATCAGGACATAACTAAGTTACGGGCAGCCTTGGAATATATGGCAGACGTTTCTCTTCAAGTGGCCAGATTATTGGCCCCTGCCATAGCCTCCAACATCGCCGCACATCGGTTGTTTTGGCTCAGGAATTGGAGAGTTGATACCAAACACAAATGGTGAGTGGCCGCTGCCCCATACTACGGCGGGCATCTCTTCGGTGAGGCCCTCACCTCCTACCTAGTAGAGAACAGGGAGAAACAGAGGGTACTTTACCACCTCTCCAAAAGGTCGGACCGACGGTTCTTCCTGTATGGCCGCTGCCCCGCCTTTCAGTTGGGACCAGACTCAGTGTTGGGGAACATCTCCCAGCCCTTTCCGGCAGGGCCGGACCGCTCCTTGGACCAGTCCGGCTACAGGGACAGATCCAGACAACAGGTTCAAACAAAGCGGCCCTTTTGAGGCAAGGGAGGCCATCCTTTCCGTAGACCAAAGTGACTCGGGGAGGATCTCTCCCATAGGTGGCAGACTAACCTACTTTATCCACCAATGGGAGAACACAACCACGGACGTTTGGGTGCTAAGCACCATCAGAGATGGACTGTCTCTGGAGTTTGTGACAAGACCTCCACGACATTTCATTGCCTGCCCCCCGTCAAGGAATCCTGTAAAGCATGGAGGAGCTGTTAAGCATAAGAGCCATAGAGAGGGTGCCAACAGGCCAACTAGGTCAGGGTTTCTACTCCATCCTTTTCATTGCCCTGAAGGCCTCAGGAGGTTGGAGGGCGATACTAGACCTCAGAGGCCTAAACTCCCACCTCTCGTATTGCAAATTCAAAATGCAAACACTCCAGTCCATTCTGGCCAGCGTCCAACAGGGGGACTTCATGACATCGGTAGACCTTACAGAGGCATACCTCCACATTCCCATCCATCCGAGTTACCGATAATTTCTCAGGTTCAGTTATTCCAACAACCACTATCAATACAAGGTTTACCGTTCGGCCTCTCATCGGCTCCCAGGGTCCACCAAGGTCCTAGCGGTACTCGCCGCACATCTCAGATCAGTACCGATCCGCGTTCAATGTTACTTGGACGACATTCTAATCCAGTCATCCTCCACTCTGAACTTCCAAGCGGTCTTAACCTTAACTATAGGGATGCTCCAGGACCACAGGTTCTCGATCAACTTTCCAAAGAGCCACCTGATACCTTCCAACCGCTTTTTGCACTTGTGCGCGATAATAGACACAAACCTTTGCCAGGTCTTTCTGTCTCGGGAGCGTCAGGTCAGCATTTGAACCACAGTCCTCAAGATCCGCAGGGAGCGTGTAGTGTCTCTGGCTCTGGTCTCCCAACTATTGGGAAAGATGATACCTTGCATTGCTATAGTACCTTAGGCCAGACTACACGCCAGATACCTTCAATGGTTCTTGCTCCCGTTCCAAAGACTGGGCACAAGCTCTTCCACTCAAAGAGTACGGGTTCCATCCCAGACCCTCAGATCTCTTCAGTGGTAGACCTCCCCAGCGTTTGCCAAAGGGTCCCTATTCAAGGAAACCATCTGCTGACCCTGACCACAGATGCCAGTGTGTTTGGCTGGGGAGTGCATCTCCAATCTCAGTTGGCTCAGGGCCGGTGGCCCCGGCTGGACCTGAGGCACAACATCAAGTGGTTGGAGCTCAGAGCTATACATCTAACCCTTTGCCACTTCCGCAACAAGGTTGCGAGGCACCATGTGCTGGTCCTCATGGACAATGTGGTGGCAAAGGCCCATGTGAACCGA